AAAATAAAACTAAATCTAATAATAAGTAAGAATTCTCTTAAAAAAGCAATCTATAGTACAGAATTAGAAAAAAAAATATAAAACAAAAAGATATACTTAAAAGGTTTCACAAATATCAAATAGCTTATAAGTCTAAGCAAGGTAATTTAGTCAAAAAAGAAAGCAAGCAAAATTTTAATTAGCTTTATAAAATATTTTTGGAAATACTTCTATAAATATCTGTAGAAGTTTTAGTATAAAGTTATTCTTGATTGAGAAAAGGAAAACAATATCATAACTAAGAAAAAAAAGAAAAATAAAGCAAAAAAAAAAATAATAACAAAGAAAATATTTGATCTAATGATACAGAAAAAGAAAGAGTAAAAGAAAAAGAAAAGAAAATATAAAAAAAGATATTAGAAAAGGTTAATAGATAGGTGAGAACTGATAAAAAAAAAAATAGATAAAAATTAAAACAAAATAAGTGATTTTGATATAGGTTAGTCATAGCCTCTCTTAGATCAGAGGTCTAGAGTCTGTACTTGCAAACTAAAATTTCTATGAAAGAAATTATTGCTATAACAGATTATATTGAGCACCTTAAGACAGTATTGTATGCAGATATTATTCTGTCAAAATTGTATAGACACAGATAGTTCTAGACAGTATTCTATATTCTAAACAATGTTCTATGTCCTTAATAGTTGTCTCATATATATAGTTTCTAGAACAATCTAATTAGCTAACACTATTATTCTTATTATAATTTTAATTGTCTAGAACAAAAAAAATATTAGTAAATATATCTGAGATATCTTATTCTAAACTGTTTGCTATTCATAATCTTATGACAATACTACCTTAAGGTAGCTAAATGAGTTCAAAATAGTTGAAAAAAGATATTTTATTATATTTTAAATAGTAATTTACTTTGTAGTATATATAAGTTTTTCAACAAATGAACTCTTTCTGATGATCCCTCGTACCAAAAATTTCTAACTTATTTTTTTAAAAAAATATACAATAAACTCTGTAGAAACATAAGAAGAACAATGCAGAAAAGCATAAGATAGCACCTGTTATTTAGAGATAGTTCTCATATACTATCTGCTAACAGGTTTAGAGTTTATCACTCACTGCAATATTATAGTGATACTTGTCGTTTAGAAGTAGTTCTCATATGCTACTTGCTGACAAGCTTAGAGTTTATCACTCACCCACAGAAGATAAGTACTAGTTACACTCTAGGTGAATACAAGTAGATAGTAGATTTTGGAAAATATATACTCTCTTTAATTTTTTTGGTACTACTACTATTTCCCTCTGGATCTTTGGATTTCTCTATACTGAAAAATAAAAAAGTGAGAGATTTGGTGAACTCATAACAAAGGATCTGCAAGTTTGTACTACTTTCTAATTTAGCAAGTTATCTGTTGATATGCAACTTAGACAAGACAACAAACATGTATATCACTATCATATGGATGATTCAATTAGAATTTAATTTCCAGAGAAGTTTATTGCTAGAGATATGCATTCTTGTTTTTGCATAGCATAATATTTTTATATTTTGTCACACTCTTTTTTTCTTTATATTAATTAGAGTGTTTGTTTCTTTTTCTTTTTTCTTTACTTTTTTACTTGTAAGGGTTTTTTAATCTGGTAGCAGATTTTTCCCTTATAAGCTTAGTTCATATAATTAGCTACATTTTATTATATGTAACAATTTTTATTTTTAACTTGGACTAGGTATTAATAGTTTGTAATTTAGTTTCAATTAGATTAGAAACAACCTAAGACCTTGATACAGATATAAAAGAATCTATTGTTGATCTGAAGAAACCATCTACTTAGGTAGGACACCTTTTAGGAAGATAAATACTTTTTGTAATAGATCGTACCTGAGTGGTGTAAAGCAAGCTGAGTGAATCTGAGGTTACAAGGGTGGGATACATTAGTAGTTTAGAACATTAGTTCTTTTTCTTATTTTTGTATTATAATTTTTTTATAAATCTTCCACTAATAAACTAAGTGTAAGGTTACCTAAGTTAAAAAAAAAAAAAAAAAAGCATATATAAGTTTTTCTTTAATAAAATAATAAACAAGATTACTAAAAAAAAATAAAAATAAAAATAAAAATTTATTTATATTATACCAAAATTTCAAAATATATATAATTTATTCTTCCAAACAACTTTACTTAAAATACTAATATCAATTTATTTATTAGAATTTTGATTTATATATGTAGCTATAGTTATTAATTAATTAAGATTAATTTTTAAATTAGTTTTTATCAACTAATAATTATAGCTATATTAGAGTTGAAGATATGATATCCCAAAACATATTTTAGAAACATGTCTAGATAGACATGTCTAGAGTATACTCTCTGGCTAAAAAGCATATTTCCTACTTTTTTATATAGAAAACCTTACATATAAAGTTTTGTTGATTAGTCAATTATCAAAGTTGATTTGATATAAGTTAATCAATTATAGACATGCTTAGAACACAGAGAGACATACCACTCGACAAAGGCATACTCTTCTAAGCATACCCAAAAAATTTTCCATGCCTCCAACCCGAAGCTATATAGATAAGTAAAAATTTTAATAAATCAATCAATATTGATATCTTAGATAATTACATATTATGAAATTTTGACGTAATTTAGATAAACGTTTATTAATTTACTTTTGCACTTTACGTTTTGGCAAGCAAAAAAAATTTTTTAATTTTTGTTCGCAGAAGTGTAAAGTACAAAAGTGAATTAACAAAAATTTATTTAAATTGCATCAAATTTTTATAATATATGTAATATATTCTCCCAAACAACTTAACGTTAAGACGATTTATTTATCAAAAATGTGACTTATATATGTAGCTACGATAAAAAATTTTTTATTTTAAATAATACCTCTATATAATCACTATTTTATTTTTTAATATAAATGTGACTGTATGAGAAACCTCTATAATAGTCATACCCCTATAAAATCACTATTTTTTGTATCCCCAGGGTGTGACTATAGAGAGGTCTGACTGTATATGCTGTGCCAAAAGTAATGAAATTACCTATATTTACATGCGATTTTGCGATACCAAAGGGAGATGGTAAACCTAAGATTGGTTGAGGCTGAAACCCTATTCCATGAAATGGGGCATGTTGTAGCATCTAATTAAAAATTATCCGAAGTGATTAACTATCCGATTCGATAATACGTATTAGTATATTGTATAATTATACTGAGAATATATTTATTTACGAGTCTTTCTTATCGTTATAATCAGAACCTTTTTTGTTTTTTAAGGTCGATTGGTTCACAAGAGCAGTCTTTGCCATATGTTTCATACCAAACACACTAAACATACTGGATACTGGATAAGCATTCAAACGAAAACTTAATTTGACAATGTAATACTATGTAGCAATCATGCCGTTTAATCACTCAGACTATGGTGTCGTTATATCCAGATATCGATATAACCAGAGCGGTATAGCTGTAAAGCGGGTTGTGCCACAAATTAGTAGTTTTCAGGCCTCTAACGCAGATCATATGTATCCTTAAATATGATACGTATTAAATAAACCTTACTGTTAGGATGCAATACGTACGTAGTAATATTATCACTTAAAGTTAAGCTAATAAACTAATCAAAGAGGCTATTCCTTTTTGGAATTGGGCCCAAATTTAAAACCCCATTTGATTATTACATCATATCGATATTATCTAAGTCAATTAAATGACGTATCTATTAAAAGCAAACCTTAAATTAATAATTATCACGTCAAACCAATCTTCTTTTATTATTAACGCTAGTAAATTGTTTGACTAATAATCTACATAACACATATTATGTTCATAGATTTAGGGTAGTGTTAAAAATTACTGTAATGTTAATACATAAGAAAAATATTTAGCAATGAAAAAAATAATACGTAGTAATGATATTGTGATATTACAAACTATATCAATTTTAATTAGACTTACAATAATTAAATTGAAGCAAATAGAGAGCTTTGTCATTGAAGATTTCGGTTGAGTTTGACCATACTTTTTTTGGGGGGACATTCTGATAACCGAATCGATAAGTTACCGACTGACATCAGAAACTTATCGATTCGGTTATCAGCAATTTTTTCAGTGACCAGAATTTATGATATTTCATGATTTCGACCCACAATATATGATGATGCCAACTAAGTTAAGATTTAAATTTTAATGTCAGTTTCAGATAAGAACCTTCCGAAGGTAAGTCCGATACGTAAATTTTTAAATCTTACCTACGTAGAGGTTTTTACTTCACTCATAAACAACATAAAACATAAACAGATTCTTTAATTTGTAACATTCAGAATAGCAACTGTGCAATCGAGTGTTTATATATGTATATTAATTATTTTTTTTTATTTTTCAATTTTTTAATTTTTTTTTACAAAAATTTCTTCATATATTTACAATATTAAAAGAAACAAAATAAAAAAAGCCACCAGAGAAAAAATTTATAAAATGATTCATCAACATCAATTACTGACCTTATAATATACCACCCTATCCTAATGAAAAACTATATATATTTTTTTGTATGTTTTTTTACATATATATGATACAATATATATACATATATACTAATTTTTACTTCTAAAAAAAAAAAAAAAAAAAAAAAAAAAAAAAAAGCGGAATGAAGGATAAGATTACCGGGAGGAAAAAAAAAAAAAAAAAAGGAATGAGGAATAAAAATAAAACAGGGTTATGTATTTTCTTTTTTTTTTTTTGTATTATAAAGACAATTTTAACATTTTTTTGCGAGGGATTTAAAGTTTTATTAAACTGATATAAAATAAAATAAAAGACGAAAGCGGGTGGATCGATATTTATAAATTGGCAAAATAGACCAGGGCTGAAATTATAAAAATAAAGCAATTAGTATTATCGACCAAGTCAGAAACAGTATTAAATCTTTTCATACCTTCGTTGATCAGCATAATCAACATGGCTTTAATATCAAATAAAAAATCACACTGCACCAATAACCTCTCTTGTCTGTTTCTGTTGCTCTTGTGACACCGATGACTCAGCGATTGGTCCATTATCTGCATCAAGATTAATATCACTGAACTTTTGCTCGATCGCAGAAAAATCGTTTTCTGGTTCGTATTCTTCATCGCCAACGACTTCCTCATCCAGATATTCATCCCAACACACAGAATACGTTGATACATCTAAAGTTAAATACATACATAGATAGAAGGGTTAATAACGCAATTAAGGCGAATTACCAAATGGAATATAATGAGTGATATATTTATTTTCACATAATCTATTGTGTGTAAAAGTAGAAAAAAAAAAAAAATAATTATGTACCACGACCACTATGCACATCACTCAAAAATCTGCTAAGCATTGGCCAAACATGAGGTTTTTTTTCAGAGATAATCCTTTGAATTTTAGTAACAACAGTATCCCACGGTAAATTTTGTCGATTATTTAGCTGAAGAGTTTCAAGAATCTCAATATATAAGGCATCTTCACCAATCAAAGAATAAGCAACCGCAAGGACATCTTCATTTAGACCTATTAAAATAAAGCAATTAAATAACATAAGATAAAAGAATATGCATGCATGATTACGCGATCAATTAAATCACTTAAATGAAGTAATCAATCAATCAATTCAATTATTATCGAATCCAAAAGACAGTTAGGATTTACATGCAAGGAATTACATACCAAGCTCATCACTAGCTTTTTGTTCTGCAAAAACTCTTTCCATTCTTCGTTTCGTATGAGGATCACAGTCTTCATTCAAAAATCTTTGCAAACCATTCCACACTTGTTGATGGCTAGCAGAGGCATTATCAAATTGCATAGCACGTAAATATTCATCCATCAACCGTTTATCAAATCTCAAAGCTTTTTCCACCCTCTGAAGCATATCCAAAGCGTCACAAACTCTCATAAAAGTACTTTCGAACGCCGAATTTTGTTCACATTGACGTATCATCACCTGAAACTTTGTAAGCAGGTCAGGATCGGTTGAACGACGGAAAAATGGAACAACATTTTCAATGACAGCATGTAAAGGAGTGATTGTCAGAGTGGCAACAAAGTCTTCAAAATCCTGCTCGTCAGGAAGCGAACCTCTAAACGAACGGAAAAATCCATAGATTGCATAAGGTGTCGTATGGTCAGCAGTCATATTTGATAACCACTCGTGAGTACTATACAAAAGAAATATGGCGGGAGCAAATATGAAAAAAAAAAAATCAAAATCCAAAAAAATTTTTATAACAAAAACTATTTTCGTCTTAATGCAGAAAACAAAGACCAACGGAACTTTCGACTAGTGAGTAATCAGTTAGTAAAAGGTACCGTTATGTCTGTCTACGTACGTATGTACGTACCTACCTTCGGTTTATTGTATGTACGTAGATATATAAATATTTGTGCTTTGAAAATACGTATGTAGAGAATTTAAATGACTACAAATAGGAAATCAAGTACAATTTATATATTTATGTCTGTGATACAAGTTATACTCATTAGTGACATTAGTGACGCATTTCGGTGTGGGTTCCTTACATATATAGATATATTAGAAGTTGTATAATGAAATATAAATGACAACCTAAAACCTAATCAGGCAACGTATATCACGCCAGTCTTTTAAGTCAGCCCAATCCTGTTGACACAGATGTGAAACTATACATGAAATACAACCACATTTGACTCAATTGCAACGAAACGAACAATGGTAAACCTAGTTAAATATAGAGTAAACTTGATGAGGTTCTCGTTACCAACAAATCTGTATCTAAATATAATCGGAAATTAAGAGACAATATCAAGCGTCTTTCATTAATGAGCGCACATTTACATTCACGTGCGTACTAAATGTAATTAAGAACAAAGAGTAATGCAAATTTCTTTTATAGTAAACACATTTGTCTTTGTTCTTATAATTTGAAATTTGCCCCGATTTCTTATACCTGGGTGTTTCGTTTCAATGAAGACCTACAGCTTCTTACATGATGTAATTCCTTATCCGATTTCTTTTTTTTTCACATAAACTATTCCCAACTAGTATAATAGACAACACTAATTTGTTAACGTGTGAAAATTTTTTAAATTCCCCAATAAGATAGCGATAGCTTGTGCCAATATGATTGTGCTCTCGTAATTGCTTCTTTTCTATCGATGTGGTGACGTATATAGTGATACAAACAGCTTTGCCGAGCCATTTAATGGCTCGACTACGTCGCCTGACGAACCTTATGATTTTGTCATTGACGAAATGAGGTTTCTTCAGGTCACGTGAGCTTAGTCAAGCATCATTACCGTGCAGCGTGTACCCCGGGCAGTGTTGTACGTTTTGACATGTCCAAAGTTTTTTTGGACATGTCCAACGTCCAAACGTCCAAACGTCCAAGTGTCCAAAGTGTCCAAGCTGTCTATAATCTTAAATATTTTAGTAAAAGAAATAAAAATTATATCTTTGTTTAATTCTAAACATTTTTGCTTAAAAGATTTGAATAGATTATCTTAATAAAATTTTGAGTAAATTCATTTTTTTTTTGTCCAAAATGTCCAAACTCTTGTCCAAAGAACTTCCATGTACAACACTGCCCCGGGGGTACTGTGTGAAGAGAAGGGTACTATACGAGGATTACTATGAAAGTTTTGATTATATGAGTTAATCATTTGAAAATAGTAAAAATGTTTTAGAATTGACCAAAGTGGCCTCCAAAAGTGAAATATCCCCAAAATTTCGGGTCGGAAGACTTCGGAATTCTGGTCAATGAGGCCGGAATTACCTAATTTTGTTTAAATTTAAATATGTATCAGGTATATATAATAACTTTTTCATGATTGGTTATTATATAAAATTGAATAACACGTTATTATTGGCTAATTGTGAAGTATTTGACAATCAATTAATTAAATTATATTATATTTGTAAACTTAATTAGTTTCTATTGTTTCTTTACTTTAATAGATTAGATTTATTGTTTTGTATTAAATTTAGTATATTTTTAAAAATATATTAAAAATTTAAAAAAATTAATAGTCTAATTTTTTTTTTGTTATTAAGATTTTTTTTTTTTTCCCACAAGAGGATCTTGCCCTTCATTTTATTATCATTTAATACTGATTACAATATAAACATATAAAGCTAAACTATACATGTGAACACGAAAGCTAAACTAAATATGCAGAAGACTTTACCCTTATATCATAATACAAGTAACTATCACTAATATAAATAAGCTCAACTAAATATACCTAGTGAATGATTATTACAATTTCAGACTTACTCAGATACTCATATGGCTCTAAGTATGATTAACTTGTCAGCAAGTTTACTCCTCAAAAAGCTCTATGCTCAATATACAAAATAATCCAATTCCTCGATAATCTACTGACAGCCTAGTCAAGAACCTTTTGGTCACTTCCTACTCTGTGCCAAACTGATCCAAGGTGAGTAGGCTATAAAAAGAGAAAATAAAAATTATATATATAACAAAAGACATAAGGTTATATATCATATAATATAGTTGAATAAAGGAAACCTGCTAACAGGTAAAAACCTTTAAACAACAAAAACAAAAATAAAAATAAAATAATGTTTTTCCTGGAACAGTGTAAAAATTGTGTATATATAACATTTAAGTTATTCTTTAAATTTTCAAAGGAGCAAGGTACTATATTACAGAGAGAATATCAACAACTTAGATTTCTTATGACATATGTTTGGCCAAACATATATTTGTTGTTTGTTTATAATATAAGAAACAACAGACCAATACCCAATTGTTTTTGTCGATGCATATTGTAGATCTTTTGAAGAGAGTAAGCCAAATTCTCTAAAAAATACTAACAAGTTATAGAAAAAATTCAAAAGACGATATCAGAGAAGGCTACTTCTAGAAAAGAAAAATTTTGCTACTTATTTTCTTACTAAAAACAGTACAAATACTTGTTATACTAGCTATTCCTGTACTAGCAAACTACTAGTGAGTATCACTTAAAACAACAGAGGTATTTGATAATTTTTCTTGTAATCCACTACTTTTCTATAATATCCAGAAGTTATATCTAGATAACGTAACTAAAAAGAGCTCATATAAGGGAGTTATTCGCTTACAATATATTGTAGAAAGCTCAAAAGAAGAATATTGTTGTCTGTTATAGCAGAAAAAAATTTTTACAGGTCAGATTATTGTAAAAAAAGTGGTCAGAGGATCAACAGAAAGAGTTGTCATCTGTGATTTTGACTACTTAAGAATTTAAAGAATAACTTAAATATAATATATATATAATTTTTATCTAGTTTTCTACTTTAATAATAGAGTTCTGATTATTAACTCTTCTTATTGATCCTCTGACCACTTTTTTTTGAAAAGAAAACCTGACTTGTGAAAAAATTTTTTTATCATACAGATAACAATATTCTTTCCTAAGTATTCTACAACATATTGTGGGTAAATACCTTCCTTGCAAGCTCTTTTTAGCTATATTATCTAGAAGTAACTAAACCTAAAAAGGAAATAGATCTTATTCATGCAGAATCTAGCTTCACAAGGGATCTAGCTGATACCCGAGCTAAAATACCTGATAAAAAAGGAAAAGCAGTTGAACAAAGAAGTAGTGAACTAACAACAATGGATATAGAAACTACAGCAACTACTCACAATCGACAGTAGAACAGAATACATACAACACTACAACATATACTAGATCCTATAGACAAACCCTCAAACTAGGCCTACAAGATGAAATATTCAATATAGAAGATATGGATATGAAATATATTTGGGTTAACAAAGTACAAGATAATATTAACGACACAATTAAACAAAACTTCGACTAGCAACTATGGAATAACGATAACATTCTCAATGCACTAAAATCACCTGATGGTCTCCAAGAATTTATCAGCCATAAAATTAGCACTACTCCAACTAGAAGAAGTATCCCACCAGCAATACAATCAAAATTCCAATACCAGGATACTACTTTCTTCCTAACATTCACCAGAGCCAAAAAGTTCAAACCACAACATCAAATCGAATTCGAAGAACTACTAAAGAATGCACTAAATAATTATAAACGAATGCATAGCATCACTATTACTAACAAGGAAACAAGGAATCTAATACAACACAAGCTTAG